TAATCACAGGTTTAAGTTGTATTCTTTGCAATACAGTCTTCAATTCGGTCTATAAAATGTACCTATAGAATGTATTTAATTTTTATAAAAATTATAAATACAGTTTCTACTATTTTTTAATCACAGGTTTAAGTTGTATTCTTTGCAATACAGTTTTCAATTCGGTCTATAAAATGTACCTATAGAATGTATTTAATTTTTATAAAAATTATAAATACAGTTTCTACTATTTTTTAATCACAGGTTTAAGTTGTATTCTTTGCAATACAGTTTTCAATTCGGTCTATAAAATGTACCTATAGAATGTATTTAATTTTTATAAAAATTATAAATACAGTTTCTACTATTTTTTAATCACAGGTTTAAGTTGTATTCTTTGCAATACAGTTTTCAATTCGGTCTATAAAATGTACCTATAGAATGTATTTAATTTTTATAAAAATTATAAATACAGTTTCTACTATTTTTTAATCACAGGTTTAAGTTGTATTCTTTGCAATACAGTTTTCAATTCGGTTTCAAAATTTAGTCCAATAACCATTACAATTAAACTTAGCATTGTCAGCTCGTTAATGTGATGAGCCTTTTTTTTGTTTAATTGGCAACACAACATAAAGTTTTTTTTTAGAAGGTTGAATAACAGATTTTCATACAGGATTTCTTTTTAATTTGTTAAATTGCCATAAAAAAGATAAGCCAAGCATTCGCTTTTGCTATGTTGGCGCAATGAAATTAGACCTTGAGATACCATCAACTCCACCTATTGATTTGCTATACTCACAGTTGTGCAAATAACTTCAATAAACTGCTTATTATATGTGGACATTGTTGTTTTGACTCAATAACTGATTATTCATAACTGTTATTTGACTTAATAACTGACTCCCTAGTCAGTTATTATCTAAGTATTAAGTCTTTACCCTAAGGACTGAATAACTGACTAGTTCACAAAAGTTGAATGCATCTCAATACATTTAGTAATTGTTAAGCCATTCTCAGCAGTAGTTGTTAAACTACTTTCAATAGAGCGATAACCTCAGTCTCTCCACATGTATTTAATGTGCGATAAGAACTATCAGTTATTATTCTTATTATCATTAACAAATCAGCAGTAGAACAAGAAGACTGAAATCTATATGAATGATTAGAAAGTAAGTTATTTGATTCAAGATAAGAGATTAAGTGTTGCTTATGTATGAATGAAGACTAATGGGACAGTAGTTAGATCCTTGCTTATGTATGTATGAAGACTTAAAAACTTGCTTATGTATGTATGAAGACTAATGGGACAGTAGTTAGGTCAGTCAGATTGCTCTCCAGAATTTTAAAAAATAGAAATAACAGATCCTGCTTTCGGTCAAGCTTGGAAACAAGGTTCTAATATGCACTTGTTAAATAGTATTAAAAGTAAAAATGACAGCTCCGGGGTAGTAAATGACAGGGACCCAGCCAAATTTGGATCTTTTTACAACCCCAGCTTGGGCTAAACAATAATTTAAGCAGGAGTTATAGATGGGGCTAGGAGTTTTATTTGCTTCTTTTTTCAAAGCATTAAAAGTTAAAAAAAATATATCTATTATGAAAGGTAAAAACTATAGGAAAATCACAAATATATTTAAATTTAGATATATTTAAAAATACATATTTAAATATTATACTAATAATATAATAATTTACAATTAAAATTTACAATATCAAGTAAAAAATTAGCCAACTTGAAAAAGCAAAATTTTTTTCCGAATGCCTTTTAACAAAATGATTTAAGGTAAACGATAAATGTAAAATTATAATGAAGATTTGCATCAAGCAGCTATTCACTAAGAAAGATTATCCTTTCATTGACCTAAGTTTTTACTGAGAAAGATTGTGATCATACATTACAATCTTTCTCAGTGCATTTAAAAAATTTTTGTTACGCTCGTTATGTTTTAACCAAGAAATTAGTTTTGGAGCGTGTACGAATTAAAAAGGCAACTATATATTTGTCATTACATCATTCAAGATTGAGATATGATTTGAATTGTTTGAAGTTCTTTGTGCTATTTCTATCTACAGCAACTTGAAATTAGTTCTGAAATTAGTTCAAAAATGCAAGATATTCCAGAGCTGGTTATTTTTGTAATCTTTTAGAATGGATTGAAAAAATCATACATTGTTTTAACTATAGTTAAAACAATTTGATGTAACGTTCAACAATAAATTGGTGCTGTGACATATCTATGTCACAACACCTATGTGAGTATCTACTCACCTATGAAATAAACACCTACTCACAAATAAAACAAATAAGGCCACAGGGTAGTTAACATTTGCACTTCAATGAAGCAGGTCAGAATCCTCAAAGTAACTAAGTGTTGCCATATATTCAGCGCAGCTAAAAATTCAGTGCTTCGGCTGAGCATCTAGCCGAATATTCAGTATTTGACAAAATCACTAATCTTGACGCATATATATATATATATATATATATATATATATATATATATATATATATATATATATATATATATATATATATATATATATATATATATATATATATATATATATAAAACAGATTCTATGAACTTTTTTTATCTGCTGCAATAGTTAATAAAAAAAAAATTTTAAATTGATTGCTCATAATGTTTTAAAATATCAAACATTAAAAACTCTCAAAGTTTTAGTCTGCTTAATTTGTTTTTTAAAAGGATCAGGAATGACAAAAGTTTAAAAAGGAAGTGTGACATTGAACAGAAAACATAAGTTCTTTTTAAAATCATTTGATTTGAACAATGAAAATTTTCCTTATGGCATTTGTACTAAATGTAAACTAAAAAGAGTTAAAAACATTATTCTGAGTAAACCGTATGAATTCTCAAAAGTCAAAGTAAGTATACTTACCAAATACCAATTATTCTGTGTTTGTGGCATTTGTGAAATTGCTTGAACTACAATTACTTCAAGATCAACATCTGAAAGTAGAGGAGAATCGATTTGGGAAGAGTAAAGGCATTATCACCTGGAAAAATACAAATATGTAAAAGTTGTATGGTTGTCATTGGAAGAGGATTACCCCACCCTTGCACTCTCACAACAATAAGAAAAAATTTAACAGAGGAACAAAGGTAGAGCAAACCTTTAATTTTTGATTTAATATTTTAAAGTTGAAATGCCATTTTTGATGAATAAATGAAAAGCTCCTCAAAAGTGCTTTTTCCAGTTAAAAAAATCCTAATTTTGGAAATAAACAAATTTAAAAACACTTGTAGACTTAGTAATACACAGAGAGCCAAAGTTCTTTGTATATTTAGAAGCTGGAAGGGAAGAGAATAATTTGAAAACAATGTAAAAGAGAAATTATGTAAAGAAGATTAGTTCTTAAATAATAATTTTAATGTTAAAGAAATGATTTTTGAAAAAGATTCCAGACAGTTTATTGTAAAAATATTAAAGGACTTGTTGAGTTTATTTAAATATTATAGAAAAAGTGGCAGAATGTCAAAAAGAAAGTTTAGCTATGAGAAAGGAATAGATGATTAAAAATACAAAGATGGTGGCATAAACAAATTGTTTATTATTGGCTTAAAACAGAAAACATGGCTGAATTTTATTCAAATCTTGAGAAAATTATCACTATTTTAAAGCTAAATAATTTAAAATACTATTTGTGCATTTGATATGAAATTGGCTAATATTTTTTGGAAAGAGCAGCATTAAAACATCCTTGCCTTTGGTGTAACATTAGCAAGGAAAAAATGCATGATTTTGAAAATTATGGTGAGCTCAGAATTCTATGAAGTATCTGCTTATTAGCTAATGCTTACAAAGCCTTCTGTAAAGATTTTTAAACAATCTAAGCTTTCAGCTGCATCTTATGTTGATTGCCTTAGCTTGATAACATAAAAGTTATTGAAATTCTTGCTTCAATGGAACTTCATTTACTTTGTGGAAATGCAAACAGATTTTACAATAATCTTGAAAAACATTTGCAATCTACTACCTTATCTGTAAACCAGTGGAACCAAATTTTGCATAATGGTCAATTTAAAGTTGAAGATTGTTCAAAACTGCTTCAAAATACTCATGTGTTAGAAGAATTAATAAAATCTTCTAAACTGGAAAGAGATAAACATATTATTTCTATAGTTAATTTCTTTAAATGTATAAAATCTGTTAAAATTGCATGTCTTGGTTTAGTTTGTTACCTGTATATGAGTCAATCATTATTAAGAAAATAAAAATAAAGGATTAAGTTTTTGGTCTGAACAGGCCTCTGAATCTGTTCATTATGATTTTTAAACAGTTTTGGGAGAGTGGATACAAAGTTTCTAATAGCCTTAAAGATTAAAAATTAAATATTTTATCATATATATGTGTATCTTTTATAAACTTTTATTGATTGTAAATGGAAATAAATACTTAAAAAAGGCATTAATATTTGTTGTTTAAACCATTCTCTAATTAAAAAACAACTGAATATATACTAAAAGAACAATTTCATAATTTTTTATTCTTTATGATATGTAACCTCCAGATAGGCATTTTCACATTAATACAAATAATGTATCAAAATTATGGTGATCAGAGTTTGAAAACAATGTTTTCCTCAAACTAGGACCCTAAATTCCAAATATTTGTTAGGGAAGGGGGCAATGATAGCACTTAAAAAAAAACTTTACCATTATGAACTCAACTAAAATTCATTGATAAAATTCTCATTTAGTAAAAAACTATTTTATAGTTCTAAAGTTATGACCTCGTAAAGTTAATGACCCCCTCAAATAGAGAGGGGTTCAAAGTTTCCCTGGACACCATTTTTGAACAATAAAAATTTTTTGGTCAATGCTGTTCCCAGCCTCCTATCATTGTAATTTTTTGTTAAACATTCTTATTTAATACCAATATCAATATTACAAAGTTTGAAGTTTGCACCATCTCTGAAAGTTACCTATTTTGAACACCAAAAAATAATTACAGTTTTTTATTTATTAATATATAGTTTTATATTTCGTTTCAAGGTAGTGCAGGATGATAAGAAGATAGATGATAATCAGGTATCTAATCTGTTAGCGGAAAAAGTTCATCTGTTTGAAAAAATTTTGTATCTTGTTATGGCTGATACTATTTATTGTGAAGGTAAAATCCAAATAAATTTATTAAATCTGTTCAATATTTGTTAACAAATATTGTTATGTGAATATTAAAATTAATTAATGGCCAGTTTAGATAATGTTTTTTTGTTAACTTTAAAGCTTTTATATCCAATATACATAATTAGTATTTAATATATTTTTTAGATCCAATAAACATTAATAATATTCAATATAGTTTTTATATTCATTATACATTAATAATACTCAATATAGATTTTTCTGGCAATTGGAAAGTTTTGCAAATAATATTTTTAATTTTTATTTATTGCAAATAATATTTTAATTTTTAATTATTAATTTTTCAAAAGTTTTTTACAGTTTTACAAAAGTTTTACAAATAATAAGCTCACACAGTTAGCATGAAAAATAATTAGCTCACACAGTTGGCATGAAAAATAATAAGCTCACACAGTTGGCATGAAAAATAATAAGCTCACACAGTTGGCATGAAAAATAACAAGCTCACACAGTTGGCATGAAAAATAATAAGCTCACACAGTTGGCGAGAAAAACATTATATTAGTTTGCATTCTTTTAACAAACAAAAAATATCATTGAAAAAAAAACAACGTTTTTGTGCTTTAACCAAACAAAGTGTCATAAAAAAAGTTACTCTCTATTCATTACATTAAAAATATATTTTACATATTATAAATTTTATATAAGTATATTTTCTATACAACTTTCAAAACTAATATATAAAAACCAATTTTAGGAGTGTTCGATAGTGTTAATACAAGTACTCAAAAAAAAAAGTTATTGTAAAAAACATTTAAAATTCCTAGTTGAGTGGGGAAGTAGAGTATCCCTTCAAAGTTTTTTAAGACTTAAAAGAATATAGATTAAGTAAGTCTACCCAAAACTTTTTGAGTCTTCAAGAAGATTTAGGAGAGAGTTACAAAGCATGAATAAAAGTTGAGATATGAATAAATGTTTTTAGAGCATAAAAAGGCCAGATACTGGAAAAAAAATGCAACTTTACTGAATAGCAAGTCAAGCATCAATGAGTTTTGGTGGAACTAGAAGATGATTGGAATTAGAGATGATATCTTGTTTGAGTAGTGACCATGATAGTATTTTTAGGAAAGAGAGAGTTGCAACCTAAAAATGATTAGAGTGGTTAGAAAGAAAAAATTTAATAATCTCAAAAACTGTCCCAGATACACCATATGGAGCAAGCCTATAAATAAACCAGCATGCCAAACTTTTCCAATCTCAAAAGTAATAGTCCTCTTCTTGTTGCCAAATGCACTATAGAATGATTTAGTTACAAGTGTTAGCAAGTCAGACGTAGGATGAGAAAATTGAAAACCATGTTCACAGAGTGTTGATTAAAGACTCAAAGATCGCAAAACAAATCCCAATCAACTTTAGAATAGTTGTAGGTATGATAGGGTGAGTCCAAAGAAGTACAAAATAAAAGATTTTAGCAATCATTGCATGGTCAGAACCATCAGAGGAGAATAAGGAGAAACTAAGCACAAGCCAGGGTCAGAGACAAGACACAAATAAAAGAGTGACAAGTAACAAACTTAAAACATTTTGGGTAAGAGGTTGAGAAATACATGTTGTTTAAGGCATTTAGAAGCCATTTTTTTTTAATGTTTTTATTACTTATCAACATCTCAATGTTTTTACAAAAAATTTGTTCACTTTATATAGTATATAAATTCAATTTGTGACTCTTGTCAACAATTAGTGGTCGTTATACAAAACGTCATAATAATATCAATATGCGACGTGTGACTTTTGTCAATAATTAGCTTTGCTAATTATTGACAAATTATTGACGCACATTAAAATCACAACATCTCCCCCAACTCAACAAAATCTCATACATAATCATGATACACTTCTCCCATAACAAGTGAACCAAACAGGCTGTAACTCTGTCTCACAATATATTGGATAGTTTTGATCAGCGCGGTGCATACTATTGTCATCTTCACCGTCGTCCAGGGAATTTCTTTGAAAACTTGGATCTTTGATTGCAATGTGTTTTAAGTTCATTTCAGGAGGTTTAACCAGTGTTAAACCTCTGACCACTAATTCCATTTCCCGATGGTTTTTCAACAGCTCGATAAATAATTCTTATTTCCCACTTTAGTGCCATAGCTTGTATAGTCTGAGATCTTGGAATTATCTAGGAGATTTTTAGTAGGAAGTCCAAGCGATGATCATATTGTTTCTAATAATTGAACAACCATTGTTGCACTTTCATCGCTTAATGGTGTCCACAACATGTATCTGCTTGGGCCACAATCAATACAGGTAAGATACAGCAATGAATCAATATGAGTAGCATCGCAGGCTATTCTTTCCTACACTTTGCTGACAGCAAGATTTCCTTTATCCCACGAAATCACCTTAGGATCAATTAAATTGCATTCATCAAATTCAGCGACAATTTGTTTCACTATGTCTCTGCTAATGTGGATACCAGCACGCAAGCATAACTTCATACTCTTGGAAACTCCATGTGTGCTATTGAGTGAACTTTTTTAATCTGCTGATGATCGTGCTTATAGATGATATTACATTCTTGCGTCGCAACTTTATTTTTTATCTTTATTTTTATTCTTTATTTTTATTGGATTTACTGTTACTTCCAATCCTAGAGCACGAACTGGGTTTTTGCCAAAATATTCAGATGTTTTTGTGTGAAGACTCCATTTCTTCATATGTGCTACCAGCTTCCATCCATTTCCATTGGTTGCTAAGGTGTCATCAATGTATGCTCTTGTTGATTTTGCAAGTGCAGAATTTTTTTGGAGAACATATGGTAGTATTGAGCTCATCATCACTTGTCCTATTTAAGTTTCCCTGGTTTTGTTGACGTTTGTAGCTGTCCTTTGCAGCATGTTTATGCAAGCATTTCTTGCATAAGGAGGTACTCTCACATGCAAAGTGATTCAATGATTGACAGTTGAAACATCGCATTACTTTCTTTCTTCGTATATCATTTGACATTACAGTCCCAGTTGTTCGGTAATTTGCATTTACTTCTTCATTTACAGGTAAACATGCTGCATCTAATCTAGTTTGTACAATCTCGGATGCCGCCTTAACACAATCTTCAAAGCTCAACGAATCTTCTCCTTGAAGAATGGCACAAAGAACAGCACAATCATTGATCCCAATGATCATGAAGTCGACCGTCTCTCTGAAGAACTTGCATTCTTGAGCTGCTTGGATCACTCGATGCGCAAACGTTTGTATCGATTCTTTGTTGCCACAATAAGTTTTCCCAAATTCATATTGTGAGATTAACACTAATTTTCTAATTTCCAACATTTTCAGTTCTACCAATTCTTTGTATGAAACACAGTTCAGGTGCTGTTAATTTCTCCATTGTCTTGTAAATCTTCGACGGCATAGTAGTTAGCAAGTACGCTACTTATTGATCGGAAGTAATATTGTTTATCACGAAAAAAGAAGTCAACTGCCGAATAAATTGCTTTGACTGTCCATCTTCATATTGCAGAGATAATAGACACGCCAGTTAGCTTGTTGTTCAACGCATTTAGAAGCCATTTTGTTTTTAATGTTTTTATTACTTATCAACAACCTCAACGTTTTTACAAAAAATTTGTTCACTATATATACTATTTAAAAATTCAATTTGTGACTCTTGTCAACAATTAGTAGTCGTTATACAAAACGTTATAATAATAAAAATATGCAACGTGTGACTTAATAATTTGTCAATAATTAGCAAAGCTAATTATTGACAAATTATTGACACACATTAAAATCACAACAATACAGAAGCTATGAACTTTAGTGCCAGCAAGGTCAGTGGTGTTAGAGACTAGCCATTTGGTGTGATGAGCTTTAAAGTCATCGATAACAATAATATTTGCTAATTTTTTTTTAATGTTAATTCATCTTTCCAAGGCCATGAAGACCAGTGTCTGAGGCTTCTTTAATTGTAGTTACAACCATACTCTCAACTTTATAACTTTGAAGCGTGTACCTTTGTAAACAATGCACAGAGAATCAAGTTGATAAATATAAAGATAAAGTAGCATGGTCAATTTGGTCAGAAACTTCATCAAAAAGAGTGCACTCGTGAGAAGAAGAAGAGCAATTAAGAAAAGGTAGTTGAGTAAAAAAAAGGGTGATAGAGTGAATAGAAGAGTGATACAGTGAAAAGAAGGGTTATAGAGTGAAAAAGTGCTAAGCAGAAACACATTAAAAAAATTATCAGAGGGTTCAAACCTGATTTATTATCAAATAGGTGAATTAATGTGTAAGTATATGCCCAAGTCAAGCGTCACATGCTTGGTTTGGGCATATACTTATGCATCAATTTACCTATTTGTTAAGAAATCAGGTTATTATAATCTTTGCAAATCAAAGAATAATAGCCATCAACACTGAAATCCAAAGGTGAAGCATTCAAATATTTCACCTTTGGATCTCAGTTTTCGGATCTCAGTGTATTCGAATTAATCTCACAAAAAGCAATTATATCTGGTGACTTTTGCTTGAGGTAATATTTAACTGATGGAAAGTTACTTTGAAGGCCACAAATATTTGTAAACTATAGATTGTAAACAATTAAGTGATGGTAATAGTCCTTTATGTATAATATTTTTGGATATTGTAATCATGTTTTAAGTTTGAAAAACTTGACTCAATCATAGATAGAGCATGGCACCCCAATCAATTAGTTATGCAGTTACTTCAGTCTTGATAAGTTTAAAATATTGAACAAGAGATTCTGGATATGCATTAAAAAAAAAGTCTAAAGAAACACTCAAAATAAAATGTTTTATAGTTGTAGTCACTAGTTGGAACTAAATAGAACACAAATATAGATATAGTAACTTTTGGGTCAGTGAACACCACGCTAGAGATTCAGAAAGAATACAAACATACAAATTGTAACTTATGGGTTTGTGAACAACGGGGTAGAGGTTCAGACAAAACACAAACATATTGTAATTTGTGTGAGTTAACACCACGCCAGAGGTTCACACAGAACATGAACATACATATATAGTAAATTACAGATGAGCGAACACAGTTGCTAGGACACTTACAAAATTTATTATAAATTGACAATGAAAAAGTGGGCTTCAAAAAGAGCATCTGAAAAAAAATTTAAAATGCAATTAGACTTAGTGATATAGTTAGACTGGTAAATAATATGCTAATATCAGGGATCATCAAACAGTAGAAACACTACAAAAAGATTTTTTGATTACACATAAAACATTTTTGATCCTGATGCCAGTTTGATAAGTATAGTGGGTGTTACTTTGTGTAATTGTCATCTGTCATTTTAGTTGACTCTGAATAAAAAGATTCCATAATACATACTAATCAAAAAGCGCTAAAGTTTTCAGATGCATCTGGAGATTTGGAATTTAACTCATCTGGTTGTAGGCTACATAGTTGTTAAAAAAAAGTTTAGTTCTTTTTTGTCAAATCTCACAAGATTTAATTTTAAATTAAAATTTAGTTTTTCTATTCTTATTTTTAGAAATGGCATTTACTTTAAAATTATTTCTGGTAAAGTACCTAGTGATGACATAACTTGAGAATAAAATATAGTAAACTTGGACTATTAAAAAGCAACAGGAAGTTTAAAATTGGTGAAAAACCATCTATGTTTGTTATGGGCAAATCTAAAACACATGGTATTTAAGCATATCAAACAGCAACTTTTCCCTTTTAGAATAAGCTAAAAGGCTGGATGATAGGAAACTTATTTACAGTATGAATAAAAAACCAGGTAAATAACTGTCTTGTCCATCTACATATGAAATATAAAAAGAAAGGCTCAAGATATAAATTTATAGCAAAATCTTTTGTCTCGGCTTTTAGTAAATAATTAGAAGCTGTGAGTTCCAGTAATAAAACTTATTAATAATCATTTTTAATGATAGACACCGCAGGAGGGTAAGCCAAGCTGTCTATCAATATAAAACAACACCATTCTGGAACATTTAGTTACAAATAGACTTATTTTTGAGGAGCAAACTGATTTTGTTCCGAACAAATCATGCACAACAATTTTGATTAAGAAAATTGACACCAATACATATAAAACTGCAAAGGGCATAATATATCTTGACTTTGCAAATGATTTTGATAAAGTCAAACTCAAAAAGTTATTGAGAAAGATTAAAACATATTGCAATAGTGGTAAAATATATAACTGGATTAAAACAAATAAAAGTAAACAAAAAGTTTCTATTTTTATTGCAGTTTCAGAGCGAGTACCTGTTAGCAGCAAGGTTCCTAAGGGTTCGGTTTTGGCTCCCATTTTGTTTCTACTATTTATAAACGACTTGCCAGAAAGTTGTGTAAACGCATTTAAAATATATGCTGACGATAGCAACATAGTAGCCATTGATGATTAACTTTGTAAACAAGCAGAGATACAAAACGACCTTGACAAAATTGTGTAATGGTGCAACGATTGGCATATGGAACTTAATTACAAAAAATTTAAGGTGATGAGATTTGCAATGAAAGTGTTCTTTAAGGAATTGTTAAAACATACAAAATAAATGTAAATGGAATGATTTATGACCTTTTAAACAGCGTATTAGAGAAAGATCTAGGTATTTTTCACAACCGGATATGAAACAGAGGTGGAAACATCTTACACAAGTATGTGTTAGCAAAACTTCAAAATTACTGGGTTTATTAAAATATACATTTGAAAGTAATGATTGTAATATGTGGAAAATTTGTATACTAGCATAGTGGAACCGCATCTAGAATTTGCGGCTTCAGCATGGAGTTCGCCAAATCTAGCAGATTTCATTGTTTGAAAAAGTTCAACACAGGGCCATGAAATTCGAATGTTTAGTTATAAAAAGCAAATAGTTAAAATGGGTTTAACAACATCAAATTTCAGAATAAATTGAGGAAACTTAACTCATTTATACATGATAATAAACCGATTTTGTCTTTTGAGCCATTTAGAATCTATCTTAATCTAAAACCAGTTTTTATGTCGTTGAAGTAGATGGTCTATGCTCTTTAACAGTATTTCACGTATTTTTTCATGTATTATCAAGACAGACAGTGCATAGAATTCTTGAGCAAATGTCCTAACATTAGAAACAGTGAGTTTAGAAACTTTCGTGAAGGAAATGATCAATGATGCAGTAAGGCTTTGTTTATAGATGTTCGTTTAAAAAGCCATGTTAATGGAGTTAGAAGAAGAAGGAGAAGCTAAGAAAGTTTCTTTGATTGGGCCTTAAGAAAAAAAGAAATTGAAACTGCAAGAAAACAATATTAAAATGGTGTATCGGGACAAACATATACGTATAAATATTAATTTCTATACGGCTTTATTCTTTTACATGGCTTCTTCCCTCTACAGGGCTCGTTGATTATCTGCATTTCTTCTTTGCTCATTGATTATTTGCATTTCTTCTTTGTAAATAATTGAACCGTTTTTTTCCTTTTTGAAAAATGCAATGATTCTAAATAAAAACATCAAATGACCAAATAATCGCATCCAAATGAACATCTGTAAAAGATGTTTATAATATCTTTTACTTTTATATATAATATAAATGGATTGATGGTTTTTATGGCTATTGATATTTTTTATAGCTTGAGTAATAGTTTCAAAGTTTAATGGGTAAAAGTAACTTACACCTTTTGCACTAATCTTATTGAATCATTGTTTCTGATGATTCAATAAGATTAGTGCATTATTTATCAGATAAGGTTTAAGACCTAGCATTAAGCTTCTCAATAGGATTTACTTTCATACAGTCAAAGCTGATTATAAATCTAATTAACTAATAGGACATAAAAAATGCCAAGTTTACCTCCTAACGTCAATAAGATTAGGAATTATTGGAAATGCAGTTCAAGGCTACACTGCCAATAATTCCTAAATATATCTTAAAGCCATTTTTGAGCAGCTGCTTATTGTATTATATCTTTTAATTTAATTGATTTTTGTTAGATTTAGAACATTATTAACATTTAATAACAATAAAAACATTTAGATATTTATTTGAGAACTTCAAGGTTTGGAATTAATCTCCAAGGAAATTCTTTTGTTGCAATCTTTAATGATTGCGCAAATATAACTTTACAAAAAAATAATAATTGTCTAAAGGTTGTGGAGCAATCATAATCATCGAGGGAAAAAAACATTAATAACTCCAGTTTTCTTGTGTTAGTAAGAAACTAACATAAACGAATGTTATTTGTTGTTTCAGATCATAAAATATATCTGGGTGGTTTAACCTATAAACTTCTTTATTTTTATTTAAATAAGTTTCAGTGACATGTAGTTTTACTCTTTATATTTAAAAAACTTTTAATGTTATAATAAATTTTTACCTAAAAAGACTTTATTAAAATTACAAACTGATTTTAGGAAACGACGGGATAGATAAAGATTGGTAAGTTTTTCATAATTGTTTTATTCTATTTATCTAAAAATATCTTTTTATCTTTTGTTATATTTCTTTATATTAGATATATTTTATGTTATACTTTTATTACATTTGCTTAAATTATATATTTTTAAATTTTTAAAGTTTAAAATATATTTAGTTAGGGGAACATAGGGCTAAACAGAATACTTGGGCAAAGTAAACACATAATATCTATTGTTTAATAAAAAGATCTGTATAAACAATTGGGTATCAGCATGTAGAGAGATAAAAGTTTCAGCAGAGATTAAATAAAAAAGTACTCAAGGTCAGACAACGACAACGATTAGGAATCAAGATTTAAAGGGTATCAACAGATTCTATCTGTTGACCAGCCTCTTAATCTATTAGGTTATCGTAGATGTATTTTTAATACATTATTTACAATTTAGGATTTTGAACACTGGATCTTCTTAACTCAATGTTTTGCTTGTGTTTCTGTTATTTTGTCTAGAGTTCATTCTATTATTTCCCAATGAGGTACAGCACTGTGCGCTATAAAAACCACCAGGTTTAACTCCTTCCCACCTTTAATTTTTTTTCATTTAAAGATAAATGCTGTTTAAGTATGTTATTTTTTTGTATTGAATAAATCTAAAGTAGATGTACCAAAAAAAAAAAATTTTAAACCGATTTATCCCCTTAAAATGATAGTTACCCCCTTAAAAGATGTAACTAATTCAATTATATTTTTTAAAATCAATATTCTTTATTATCCTATTTAAAGTATTATAATATAATCTACTATAACTTTAAACTTAAAGTGATTTAAATTTCTAATACACCAAAATATTAATAGTAATAATATGAAGGAAAATAACAAGGAAAAAAAAAAATACAAAAATAATAACAAAATGCAAAAATGTTAACACAACTAATTATATATTGTACTGTTTACATCTTATCTATGCAAAAAGTGGCAGTGACAGATTTCAATCGTTTACCATAATCTATATGGCCAATCCTTCGCTTATATCGAGACCAACTTGGTTTAAAGGCACTGTAAACAGCCTCTCCTGTCTGTTCAGCATATGATCCTAGAGAACAAGAATTAAATAGCACAAACGGAGAATGCTGCACTATATACATTTTCGTGTAACATTCAGCTCTGCGTTTAAATGTATTTTTGCATACTGCTGTAGGTCAAAAAATGATATTTTAAACTCTTCAATAATTAACATCATTTAGATTTAATCTACTCAAAATTTTCTGCAGATATTCATGGTCTTCAGAAATATTATCAACAATAGCAAGAATAAAATACCTTTTAACTCCATTGTCAATGTGTATCTCATTTTTATTGGTTTTGTCAAAAACATTTATAATTACTTTATTTCTTGACCTCCATCGATGGATACACGTACCATCGAACTGTAAAAAGGATCTCAGCCTCTTTTCATAAGAATATTAAGAATAAATTTCGAAGTGCCATGAATAATAATATCTCTTGTTACAGTTTCATCATTCTAAATAAAATCATCTTGTTCTATTTTATATTTAGATTCAATTTCTTATTGTAATCATGTCATCATGCTAACTACATTGTTTTCAACGACAGCAAATGACCCTATATTCTTGCGCAGACTTGATATCATTTTTTTTTGATTTTTCGTTAATTCCAGTAAAGAAGTTAATTCCATAACTGTTTGTAATGATATCTAATTGAAAGACTCTTCTAGAAGATTTATCGTCTTCAGTTCCAATCGTTAAAATAAAGGGATTCCCACCTTAAAAATAAATTATAATTAATTTAAATATATTTTGAAACATACCCTTAACTAAATTTAAAATGCAAATGTTTCAAAAAAGTTAGCAATCCAAATAAATGTTTAACTATAAGTTATATTATTTAGAATAAATAACATAGAATTAATTTAAAACCGTTTAAATCTTTTTTCAACAATTTTGTAATAAAAATACCTTTAGATATTTTAAAGGAATTTAAAAAAAATTTAAAAGAAAGAAATTTCTCTCAATGCTTTCTCGCTTCATCTTGTTTTTAATTATGTCTGAAGCAACTTGCTCGCATGATGTGGGATCAAGGCTTTCTGACAAATTAATTAGGTTCAAAACAGCTTTACTAGAACAACAACTGTTATGACCTCCTAAAAAAAATAACAACAACTGTTATGACCTCCTAAAAAAAAGAACAACAACTGTTATGACCTCCTATAAAAAAAGAACAACAACTGTTATGACATCCTAAAAAAAAAGATTAGCTCTTAAATAATTCAATAAAGCTTAAAAAAAATTTATTTTGAAATTTGTACATGAATATTTGACAATTTTTTATTTCCTTATCAAGTAATTTAATATTGGTTTTTAAACCTCTTGCGAGGAGAGAAAAGCTACAACTGCATTTTTTTTGGAGATTCTGCAGTGTCACCATGAGATGATTGAATAAAACCACTACGTTCAGTATTGCGTCTAATTCTTGGCCAGTAAACCTAATTCAAAAGCAAATACTTTATAAAAAAAACAACTATTTTTTATTTATGTATTAATCATTTAAATTAAATAAGCTTGAGAAACTGTATTCGTCCTGTTTGACAAAAAAGTGCTTGATCCCTTCTCCAGCAAAAATGTTTCTTCTAAAATAATCCCAGGCAAACAATAAACTCTTCATCGTACTCAGGCTAAATATTGATTTTATTTGCTATGAATGGTTGTACTTTTGATGATGATTTTGACTATTCGCCTTTTTTTTTAAAACAAACTGCACAAAAAGTTTCGAATCCACCATTTTCACCGCTCAGTGTCTTCATATCAGTTAAAAACAATGATATATTATATAAATAGATGTCTAACTTTTTTTTGGACAAAAAATGAAGCCGCTTTTTTTATTTATAACAATAGTCCACCATTTGTAAAAAGGGCAAAAGCTGAACCCAAAGTGTGGAATAAAAGTTAAAAATGCAAGTCAAAAGTTGCCAATAAATTAAAGATAATTCAAAAACAAGTTTCAATAATTATAAAATACTTGTAAAAGTTTTTTTATGAGCCTATTTTATTAAAAAGTATTTTAATTCATAAAAGTGCTTCTAAAGCGTCTGTCGTTCTACTTTTCTATTCAAATCTTTAATCCCTTTTTAGTCGAAAATAAGTTAAGGAATCGAAGATTATTATTTCACAAGTATTCTAATTTCCGCTTAACACTTTTATATAAATGGTATTTAAATTTAAAATATATTTACTTGATTAAAGAAAAGAAAAGTTAGAAATATTTGTTTTAAAGTTTAATCCGCCATTTGTATAAAAGGCAAAAGCGGCTTCACTTTATGGATCTGAGACCGGCTGGTTTTCAGGTTTACCGAACTCTATCGTAGTTCTCAGTGATGCTGATGCCATCAACAACTGTAAAAATATCAGAGTACTAACAGTGCCATGTTGCTCATTGACGGTGTCCCTGTTCGTACCTTTAATTTGCATTGTCAGCTTAGGGTTTATTAATAGTTATGAGGCAATGTCTTGTGGTCCGGACAACATACCTGTCTTGTAGAAGTGTTCTTCGGAGCTGTCGTCTATACTTTTAAAAATATCTATCAAGTGCTTATTAGAGATCTGTTTTTCAGCCTGTAATCGCTATTTTTAAAAATTCTGGAGCGTGAACTCTAACTACCGTCCCATAAGCCTTTCTATCATAAATAAGGTTTTTGAGTTCTGATCATCAATATGGATTTTGATCTTCTCGTTCTACTGTTGATTTGTTAACGGTAATAACTGATAGGTTTTATCGTGCATTAGGTGTGGAGAGGCTAAGGCTATCACTTTCGACATTTCTAAAGCTTTTAATAAAGTTTGGTATGCTGGTCTTCTCCATAAGCTCTCTTTATACGTTGTATCAGGTAACATCTTTAAAACTATTGAATCTTTCCATCGATCGGCATATAGATTTATTCAATACAAATAAATAATATACTTAAGCAGCATCGATGGACAGCACTCTTCTTCATATTTGGTAATTTCAGAGGTTCCTCAATGTTTATTACTTGGCCTTATACCTTTTTAATTTACATTAACAATCTCCCAGAAACTCTCACTTCTAAGGTGGCATTGTTTACTCACATCTAAGGTGGCATTTGTTATTGTACTGATGATGCCATTTATTATTGTATTGATAAGAAGTCAATTCTCTCTCTCTGATTGCTTGGAGGGGGCATTTGTGCTTGAAAAAGATCTTCTGCTACAGCTTGGGACTCTTGGTGGCTTGTGAACTTTCTGAAAAACCTTTTTCCACCTAATTATTATTGCAATTATCTAGATTTTTCTATATTTATGACTCGATGAGCCCATCTTCAATTTTTACTTCCGATCTTTCTTAGAAAAAATATATCAAATCCATTGCAAAATTAACATCTGCTAAAGTTGCATCTCTTTATCGTGTATAGTTGGACCCGCTTTTGCAACCAACCTCCAACCATTATCACATTATCGCAAAAAGTCTCCTAAACTCGCAAAAGGATCCCTGAATTGGCCTAAATATATATATATATATATATATATATATATATATATATATATATATATATATATATATATATATATATATATATATCAATTAGCATAGCTTATAAACAAAGTTTGTTTGTTTTTTTTATTTATTTATTTTTTTGAGGTGTTAATGTTTCTACAGTAGTGTTGCTGCTTTGCCCTCTGTTCTCCTGGGTTAAGTATTCTATAATTTTATTTTAAAATAAATACATATTATTTAATTAAAAAAGTGTAAAACTATTTAAAAAATATTTTAAAATAAATATATTAAATATAATATTTCCAGAAGGTGTGCAATTTGTTTTTAATTTTATTGAAGTTTTTTTATACCATTACATTCCTTGCATACTAATAAAATATTTAATAAGTAATCTAATATGTAATGGTAAATGTTTTTAGCTCCGTTTAACATTCTGTTGGTAAAAAAGACTTCATATAGATCAAAAGTGTATAATAAATAAGCAAAAGTGTAAAACTATTTAAAAAATATATGTATATATACAGATTATGTCGTCGTTATATAAATAGTAATTTGAGATACCGCGAATTTCTTATAAAAATTTTACTATCTTTATAATAATCTATAAAACAACATTTTTTAGAGATTAGCATTTTTTAGAATCTGTTGAAGTTATCTCGTTGCTGGTCATGTTGTAGCTGTCTTGCTTTAGGAATGACCCATTTTACGGGTCATCCCTAGTCAAAAAGTCCTTTTGGATTCTATAAAATCTTAGTACAAAAATTTATCAGATTTGACATTTTCAATAAAGCAAATAAGTTAAAAAATGTTTAAAATATATATAGTTATAAAAGTTTTGTCTTTTTTTTTTTCCAAATTTATAGGACTTAAGGTGAAGGGTATTTAGTCTATACGAAAAAAGAATAAGTATAGACTTATTCTTTATGTAGTCAATTTATTTTTATACCTTACCATTATATTATATATTATACCATATTGATATATAATTATTCTTTATATGCTCTAGGGTACTTATTACACGGGAGGCTGCGGGATAAACGGAGAGGGTGATGAGATTTTATTCGTGATCTAAGAAAAGGGGAAGGGGATCTTAATAAAATGGTGGGCAAAATCTTTTCACAAAACACTATTAAAAAAATTAAATCTTGTTTAACTTGCGTTCAAATGCCCATTTTTTAACAGCTTTTTATCATAATATCAATAAAATTTAACTTTTCATATAGAATTTATACTTAAATAAGTTTTATTTTATGGTGAGAAAAAAACGAAATCTTATTTTTTTCGCAAATCCAGATTTACGAGATTTTTTAAGTCTGATTATACTGAATGAAATTATTCTTATATATATATATATATATATATATATATATATATATATATATATATATATATATATATCAAATGCAATTACTTTATAAAGATATATATGTATATATAACTTACTAAATAAAAAACAATACAAACTGAATATGAAAAGAACTTAAATTTATTTAATATATAAAACAACATCAATAAGCACCAATTATTTTTAATGTAAAAAACAATGCAGACTAAAATACACAACATTGTTAATAAAAATGAAGTTAGGTCATTCAGTATATATTTTTCTAAAGTAATGAAAAAGATGAAACCATTTAAGAACAAAATTAAAAATTTTAATAAATATTCAGATATCTTAAAATAAAGCATAACACAACATTATTTTGACAACAGAGTTTTTTTTTACTTTGTTTATTCCTTATTATTTTTTAAAGAGAAAATATAATGTAGATACAGAGAAATATACTAAAATAAACGCAAATTTATGTATATAAACTTATATGTCCACAAATAACTTATTTTATTTAACTTTTCATGTTAAATACATAGATAAAATTTTATTCTCATTATTCCTTCTACAAACAATAATCTTAATCTATAAATAATATAAATTGTACTAACTAAAAAACTCCTAATTGCTCTAAAAAATAAATCAATACTTGCTTAAAATGTTCTAAAAAGACTAACAACAAAACTGAAATACTTTACTAAAAAAGAAACATTTTACTAAAAAAAACTATTTTACCAGTCATTTTAGTTCTAACTTCTTCTAAAAAAAGAAAACAGACTATAAAAATTAGAAAAAAAAAAACAACATACAAATACAAACAACAAACAAACAATTATTTAAATTCAGTTAGATTTTTATTTTTTAAACAATGAACAACATCAAATCAAAACTAAAAATATATATATAGCTCTATATAAAAATATATATAGCTCTAATTTGCTTGCAGACCTTGCTCGAAAGACCTCGTAGAATATAAAACCGCGTATAAAAAAACCTAGAAACTACTTTAAAAACGAAAGTGAAACGACACTACTACTACTGTTAAATTACAGTATTAATATTAAGAAAAATTGTTAATAATTGTTTATGTATCACCAATGACATAGTAAATATATATGAGGGGGAAGGAGGTGATATCTTAAAATGTACCGACTAGCTACAAAAAAATAAAAATAAGGTCCTCAAAACGAGCCGACAAAGGAGGAGGGGGGTGTAACACCCCTCATTATATGTATGTATGTATCCTGAGTTATTTTTGTTTCGAGATGTTGTTTTTTTGTTAATAAAAAAAAAATTAGTAAACAAGGGGGTGGGAAACTTAATAAGTTTGGAGTGGGTTGGGCAAATTTCCGAAAATTAATAAACGTCCCATCCCGTGTCTTAAGAATAGTCTATTTTATTGCTATTAAGAGTACCGTCAACCGGGCTACTTCACTCCGTTTTTAATGATTATGTATGTATACATACATTATGTATACATACGTATGTATACATACGTATACATACATACATACATACATACATACATACATACATACATACATACATACATACGTATGCATACATACATTTTAATGATTATGTAAGTATACATCCTGAGTTATTTTTGTTTCGAGATTTTGTTTTTTTGTTAATAAAAAAAAATTAGTAAACAAGGGGGTGGGAATCTTAATAAGTTTGGAGTGGGTTGGCCAAATTTCCAAAAATTAATAAACGTCCCATCCTGTGTCTTAAGAGTAGTCTATTTTATTGCTATTAAGTCACCCGGGCTACTTTAGACCGTTTTTAATGATTATTTTACTGCGGTTAAATTTAGGTATGATGAAAAGTTTGCTTAATAAATTAAATTGATTTTTTCAAGTTCTATTATTATGTCATTACTGGTTTGAAAAAAAAAAAAAATTTTAATTCAATATGTTTTGATTTAGGTTTTAAAATTGGTGCAAAGTAGCCTCAATGAGTAGGGTTCTTTGCACCACATAATGAAAATATGTTTTCAATATTAAAAACAAAAAGAAATCTTGCCCAAAAAGGTTATTTCAGTATACAGAATTCCACAAAACACTGCTTTAAGTAAGTACAATACTTTATGTAGCTTAAAAAATGGTTTTAAACAGGGGTGTGGAGTTGTAAAAAAAAAGTAACGACTCCGACTCCTGTTTTTGAAATTTTTTGAGTACAACTCCGACTCCAACTCCGACTCTAAAAGTTTTTTACGTCAAAACCCCTTTTTCTATATAATAACTTATCTAAAATTAAAAAATAAGACAATTGCGTCAAAAAAACAGGTTTCCACTGCTTTCTTTTGGAATCTTTTGATTTCTTTTTTACTATTATGTTGGTTTGTTAAAGAATAAGGTCAAATAAACCTGAGTGAATCAAAGGAACCTAAGTTTTTTACGTCAAAACCCCTTTTTCTATATAATAACTTATCTAAAACTAAAAAATAAGACAATTGCGTCAAAAAAACAGGTTTCCACTGCTTTCTTTTGGAATCTTTTGATTTCTTTTTTACTATTATGTTGGTTTGTTAAAGAATAAGGTCAAATAAACCTGAGTGAATCAAAGGAACCTAAGTTTTTTACGTCAAAACCCCTTTTTCTATATAATAACTTATCTAAAATTAAAAAATAAGACAATTGCGTCAAAAAAACAGGTTTCCACTGCTTTCTTTTGGAATCTTTTGATTTCTTTTTTACTATTATGTTGGTTTGTTAAAGAATAAGGTCAAATAAACCTGAGTGAATCAAAGGAACCTAAGTTTTTTACGTCAAAACCCCTTTTTCTATATAATAACTTATCTAAAATTAAAAAATAAGACAATTGCGTCAAAAAAACAGGTTTCCACTGCTTTCTTTTGGAATCTTTTGATTTCTTTTTTACTATTATGTTGGTTTGTTAAAGAATAAGGTCAAATAAACCTGAGTGAATCAAAGGAACATAAGTTTTTTACGTCAAAACCCCTTTTTCTATATAATAACTTATCTAAAATTAAAAAATAAGACAATTGCGTAAAAAAACAGGTTTCCACTGCTTTCTTTTGGAATCTTTTGATTTCTTTTTTACTATTATGTTGGTTTGTTAAAGAATAAGGTCAAATAAACCTGAGTGAATCAAAGGAACCTAAGTTTTTTACGTCAAAACCCCTTTTTCTATATAATAACTTATCTAAAATTAAAAAATAAGACAATTGCGTCAAAAAAACATGTTTCCACTGCTTTCTTTTGGAATCTTTTGATTTCTTTTTTACTATTATGTTGGTTTGTTAAAGAATAAGGTCAAATAAACCTGAGTGAATCAAAGGAAACTAAGTTTTTTACGTCAAAACCCCTTTTTCTATATAATAACTTATCTAAAATTAAAAAATAAGACAATTGCGTCAAAAAAACAGGTTTCCACTGCTTTCTATTGGAATCTTTTGATTTCTTTTTTACTATTATGTTGGTTTGTTAAAGAATAAGGTCAAATAAACCTGAGTGAATCAAAGGAACCTAAGTTTTTTACGTCAAAACCCCTTTTTCTATATAATAACTTATCTAAAACTAAAAAATAAGACAATTGCGTCAAAAAAACAGGTTTCCACTGCTTTCTTTTGGAATCTTTTGATTTCTTTTTTACTATTATGTTGGTTTGTTAAAGAATAAGGTCAAATAAACCTGAGTGCATCAAAGGAACCTAAGTTTTTTACGTCAAAACCCCTTTTTCTATATAATAACTTATCTAAAATTAAAAAATAAGACAATTGCGTCAAAAAAACAGGTTTCCACTGCTTTCTTTTGGAATCTTTTGTTTTCTTTTTTACTATTATGTTGGTTTGTTAAAGAATAAGGTCAAATAAACCTGAGTGAATCAAAGGAACCTAAGTTTTTTACGTCAAAACCCGTTTTTCTATATAATAACTTATCTAAAATTAAAAAATAAGACAATTGCGTCAAAAAAACAGGTTTCCACTGCTTTCTTTTGGAATCTTTTGATTTCTTTTTTACTATTATGTTGGTTTGTTAAAGAATAAGGTCAAATAAACCTGAGTGAATCAAAGGAACCTAAGTTTTTTACGTCAAAACCCCTTTTTCTATATAATAACTTATCTAAAATTAAAAAATAAGACAATTGCGTCAAAAAAACAAGTTTCCACTGCTTTCTTTTGGAATCTTTTGATTTCTTTTTTACTATTATGTTGGTTTGTTAAAGAATA